CCCCCCCCCCCCCCCCCCCCGGGCCCGCGGACGTGTCCTTTACACAAGCCCACTCTCCTGGGCTCGGAGGAGCTTTCCGTAAAGTCTGGAGATGGACGGAGCAGAAGAGGGGACACATGCATTCACCAGCAGGGCCTGTGCCTGGCACTGGGAATCGTGAATCAGAGGTGGTCCCTGTCAGCCCGTAATTTACAGACCCGTCAACAGGGAGAAAGTGAGAAAGGTGATACCGGGTGGAGCCCCTGTGGGTGGCTCTCTTCCTTCCCAAGATGAATCCCCCAGGTGAGGTCTCACCGCTACTTCCTTCTGTCTCCGTTCTTGCTTGTTAATCCTCCTTGTGTAAATCCATTCATTCTGTCCTCATTCTCTACCCCTTCCCACACACACCGCTGCTGTCCCCGTTCCTAAAAACGAGGAGATATTGCCACTGCCACCATCCTGTCACCTCCCCACCTTCCAGCCTTGTCTGTCAGTAAGCCCTGCCTGCCCAGGGCTCCAACTGCCATCTCCTTGTCATTATTTTCACTCGCCCCTTAGTTCCTAACTGTCTAACTCAGTAGTTTTTGTTTGTTTGTTTTTTCTAATTCTTGGCCTCGTCTCAGCTTTGAAGGCTATTGACCAATGTCTTCCTTCCTTAATGTGTTCATTTTCTGAATACAGAACTAACACATGCTCTTTGTAGACAATTGGGAAGACACAGAAAAGTGCAAGACCGAGAATAAAAGTTACAGAATCTTACCAATCAGAGGGAGAATGCTAATAACATTTTGACAGAGACGCGCATTCATTGCTTTTGCTAAAAAGTATTAGACATTTTCAACTGAAGCTCTGTGGCCAGGTTGAGCTCTCCATTCAGGATACAAAGTGATACGATGCAAACGAAATCAGAACCAGAAAAACACCTGGAGTTCTTCAACTCAGCACCAGCCAAGTCGAATGGCTCTTTCCCCTTCATGGTGTTTAGAAGCACCTGGGGCACCCCTCCTGTGGGATCCCGAGGATGGCTGCGCGGCCCCTGCCTCCCTGGCGCCCGCACGGCTCTGGTTGAGAGCTGACGTGGCTCCGTGGTTGGCACTGACCCGGCCGAGTGTGTTCCGCAGTGCTGGCCCTCACACATCAAGGGCCCTTTGAACTCCATTCTTATTCGTAGTGTCAGCCAGATATTTCCGTTGGAATGTCTGCAGAGTTTCCTGGCCCCTGTGAGTGCTTTCTGTCTGCCAAGCACATCTTTGAACCGTGGGTGGGCTCTCGTAACACACCGGGGTGTGAACAGGTTGAGGAATCTGGTGGTTGGCTGTGGTCCTTCAGGAGCTTCTCTTGGGCAAAGTGCTGGCCTGGCCTGGGGCTCAGCTAGACAGCTGCTCTACACAGTGTTTCTCAGGCAGATCTTCATTTCTCCCCGCATCAAATGCAGTCTTTTAAATTGTTGATTTTCTTATTATAAAAGTTAGATAGAGTCGAAAGGCATAAACTTCCAGTTGTAAAATAATTAGGTCATGGGGATGCAATGTACAGCATTGTCTGAGGCCTGTCATTTCCATGGTGGGACCTGTCATTTCTCCGTAGAAGTGTTAGCGGTGGTTTTCTAAATCCCAGATTTGGTGGGATTCTGTTATTCTGCTTCGGGTAGGACTTTTCCGTTCACTGTGGTGGACACTCAGGACCGGGCACCCCCTCTCCCCTCCTGCCTTGCCTCCCGTTGGCCGGGGTCGGAGGGCATTACACATCTTTGCTTCATTGCAGGTGAGCTGTGGCCTCAGGGCAAGGCCTGGCCTTTGGTTTGGTTGTCCGTTTATAATGCTTCTCAGACTCGGTCCGGGTGGAGAAGGGGGACTCTGAGGACGGGCCGGCCTGTTGCCCTCACTCTGCCTGCCCCGGCCTCTCCATCTTGTTCACGTGTCTTCTCACTCAGACAAAGGAAAGTTCTGCCAGTGGCGGGAAGAGGGAATCGTCATTTCCAAACCCTGGAAGCAGTAGCCTTGGTGCCGTGCACACCCACTCCTCCGTGGGATTTCCCGATGCAGCCCCTCCGCCCCCGTGGGAGGTGAGGACACAGCTTTCTTCCTTCTGGGCTACCAGCCTGTGGCTCCTCAGACGTTGAGGGTTCTGCAGACTTGTTTTTAATGTATTAACAATAATGCGTTTATTATAGAGAAACCAAATAGGTTTCAGGTGGCATGGCATTTCTTTGTTCCTATACATTTTTTATTTTCACATTTTAGTGGTTCCAAAATTGGGATGCACCTAAAAATAGATTTGCACATTTTGATATGATACTATCTCTTTTTTTTCTAAAGGGGTATTTTTTTAAATCTCTAAGTGATCCCCAAATGACTCCATCCTAGAATTTAGGAAATACAGTAAAAGTAGAGTTTGAGAAAAAAAAATCTTTCAAAACATGGGATCCAAGGAAGAAAACACACCAAAGGGGTCCTTGGTAGTGGCGAGTTGGGGCCACTGCGTTAAATCTCATGTTTTTCAAGAAACTTGATGTGTGACCGTCATGGGAACGTGCTGATGAGGTCTCATCCCGAACTAGCATCTTTCTGTGGGGACAACATCGTTGGAGCGAGCGGTTCCTACATTATCCCCATACATTTCTTCCAGGTTCCAGGCCACACATATTTGCATATTCAGCAGAAGTACCTTTCTCCGTCCTTCCCTTCGTAGCATTTGCTAATTGACCATTGTTGGGTTTGAAAAAAGGCATTTTCCTTTGCCTGTTGGGCTGTGGGCTTTCGTGGGGCAGCCTCCGAGAGTGGCTGTGGGCTCCGGCACCCCCGCTGGTGCGTGTGACTGGGCCGCTGTGCCGGAAGCTGCTCCAGTGCGGGGCTGACGCCGGCAGTGTTCTGTGTAGAGGAAGGAGATGCTCTCAGTAGTTTGTCAGCACGGCCGGAGGTCGTCAGATCAAGGACTGCAGCCCGAGGCTACGCCTCTCAGGGACAAGCAGGGAGACACCAAGTGCACCCCGGCAGGGATGCTGCTCCCTGAGCCTTCCCGGGGTCCCCCCCGGGTGCCAGCAGAGGTGCTGGAGGCCGATGAATCCTCTGATGAGATGCTGGTAAGACTGTCGTGTTAGGCTGCCGAGCGGAGAGCAGACCCAGCCCTGCCAGGCCACCTGGGAGCATCTGGAGGTCCCTGTCCTCCTCAGCGCCTTCCCTCTTCCTCCCATCTCATCACAAGCCCCTCCCCCAACCTCCAGCCTCACACCCGCCCCCACCCGCAGCCCGTGCACAGGTCCTGTGAGGCCCAAATCAGGCTGGCTTCGTCCTTGAACTCTCCTTAGAGGAAAATGCCTGCATCTGTACACAAGCACACGGCTTCCTAGTGAGGCTCTAAGCCAGGAACTGGGTCTGCCTTGTTTTTCTAACATGATGCAGTTTCCGACCTTGAATAGCACTCGCAGAGCTGGTGCCCACAAGATGCGCTGAGGAGCGGGTTTCCTGACACCTGCCCCGGCCCCAGTGGACCCCACTGACGAAGCCCCTGGCGGGCCCCAGGGTCCTGGACCAGGGCCGTGTCAGCCGCCCACAGTGGTGCCCTCTCAGGTGGCATTTCACACCCCATTGGACTTGTCCCTGCACCCCTACCGCCCCCCGAGTGAGTGGTAATGAGCAACCTAATGTGCTGACTTCTCCAATCCCTCCTTGGTCCATTACAACAAAAGTTGCTCTTTTCTCATTAGAACCACTTTTGTCAGGGTGTCTTTAATCAATGGCTTCCCCGGGGACAGTATTTTTAGAAGTTGTGTTTTTCACACTCTCCCTTTTCCCCTTTTGGAAAATCTCTTCCCAGGGCCCAGTGAAATGAACTAATGAGATGCCATGAGAGTTCCGGCCGGTGTTAATTGGCACAGGTACGAAGAAGCGGCGCCCGCGCTCCCGTTCCGCCCGCCTTACCTGCGGTCCTCTGTCTCTTTGGTGTAGGTCGCACAGACGGCAGATGGTGTGGATGCTGACCTCTGGAAAGACGGCTTGTTTAAATCCAAGGTTACCAGATACCTGTGCTTCACAAGATCATTTTCCAAAGAAAATGTAAGTCTAGTCGCGCCTTTCCGTCCGCTGAGTGAGCACAAGCCACGCATGCTCCTGCCTGAAATCTCCTCCAGTGTTTGTTGTGGCTGATCCTCATCACCATACTCACCCCTCTGTGGTTTCAGTGAGCTGGGTAGAACCAGCAGCTCACGCTGTGCTTCACTGATGAAGAGTGTTATTAACCAGGTGCCCGGTGAACTGTGAATCCCACTGAAATGTTCTCAGGGAAACCAGGAGCTTCCTCAGCAGCTCCATGTGCCCACCTTCCCTCTGAGGAGCAAATCCCAGGTGGCGGGGACCGGAGAAGTTTCTGGTGGAGCCGGATTGAAAGCTGCCCCACACCTGGAGGCGCAGCTAGAAAGGTGCTGCATGGTCACCCCTTTCCACAGCGTCAGCCCTGGTCCCAGAATGAGTCGGATTGAAAGCTGCCCCACACCTGGAGGCGCAGCTAGACAGGTGCTGCATGGTCACCCCCCCTTTCCACAGCGTCAGCCCCGGTCCCAGAATGATCTTTCCCCGAGTCTCTGTACGACATGGGCGTTCCATTGTGTCTGCAGGTCGGCATTCACCGGTGCCCATTCCTGTTAGTTTTTCATACTCGGGCCCATAAATTGGGGAATTTTTGACGATACCTGTTCAAGCTTTTCCAATAGTGTTTCAATGGGCAGCTTTGGGAGAAGGGAGCCCGCTTTCCTGAGTATGTCCCCTGCGTGGGGCCTGCCCTCGTCTTCCTGCAAGTACCCCTCCCTGCTCCCGGGACAGCCGCCTGGAGCCTTCGTCCTTTCCGGAGCTCAGCGTTTGGGGCTTCTCCGAGGTCACCTTTCCTCGCCC